GAGATGAAAGAGAAGATAGAAGCCGTGATGAAACATACCATGTCACAGATTTGAGAGTTGCCATGAACCTGAAACCACAGCTAGGCCCATCAGAATACAACTGCTAAAACCAAAGCAAAAAGAAATTTTAAGATCAGCATCAGCACTGATAGCTGACTTCTCAACAGAAACAGGAGAAACTAATGACAACTTCAGAGGGTTCCAAGAAAATAACTATGCCAACCTTCCTTACTAAAAATATCTTTCAAAAATAAAAACAAAACAGATACTTCTCAGCAAACAAAAATTGAATTTGTCATCATGAGATCAGCACTGGAAGTAAAATAAGGAAAGTATTCCTAAATACAATGTTTTAAAGGGAAGTTGTAAAGTTAGTTCCAGGAGAAGGATCCTAGATAAACAAATAGAAATACAGCAAGGGACACAGAGTAATAAAAATGAAATAACCAAGGGTAATAAAAGGTAACTGTGAATAAATTTAAATGAATATTGACTGTATAAAAGCATTAGTAAGAATATATGTTTTAATTTAAAATACGGAGAAAATCAAAATCTGTGACCAGACTAGCACAAGAGGTAGAAAGGAGAAAGAGTTGTAGGGTCTTTGAGTTGTCCCGGAAATTACAGAGGTAATCACTTAAAACGGACTTCAGTAAGTCAAGGTTGCTGTTGTAACCTAGAGCAGTCACTAAAACAAAAGAATACCTCATAGGCTAATAAAGGAGAAAGTGCTCGAAATTTAAAACAAATAAAACCAAAAAATAGCAAACAAATAAAAAAAATTATCTAAAAGGAGGAAAAAAAGATAGAAAAAAGCACACAGAAAAGGGGACCCAATAGAAAGTAAATAAGATGACACATTCAAGCCCAAGTCTACTGGTAAATACTTCAGACACAGTGTAGTAAATACTCTGATTTAGAAAAGACTCAGTTTCAAAAAAAAGCACATCTTATATGTGTATAAAGGTGACACGTGAAATGCAGATACACTGAAAGTAAAAGGGTGAACAAAGAGGGACTATGTAATCACTGATAAAAATAAAGTTAATCTTCTCAGGAAAGTAGGAATAGAAAGGAAATTCCCTCAACTTAAAGCGTACCTACCAAAAACCTAGAGGTAAAACTCTGCTTAATGATGAAAAACTAGAAACTCGCCCCCTAAGATCAGAAACAAAGCAGGTCTGCTCCCGCTCACCACTACCTTCAACATCATACTGGAAGTCCTAGCTAATGACAAGAAAAGGAAATAAAAGGTACATGGATTAGGAAGAAAGAAATAAGACTGTCTTTATTTTTTTTCTTCCTGATGGACCATTTTTATTTAACAGGATTGACATCAAACAGGTCTAACAGACACAAAATTTCCACACAGTAAGTAGTAAAGTTTCAACCAGATATTTTCAATTATAAAATGTTCAGAAGAATCAGACTATGGGAAGTGAGCCACACCCCCAGGTAAATCAGATGGTGGGGAAAACATCCATGAGAAATCTGGCCAGACGTCTGACACTCTAGAAAAGGGTCCTGAGATTCACCTGAAACATTTATTGAGTTAATACCAAGCACGCTGCCTCTGGAGACACAAAACATGCATGTTGAATCTCTCTGCCTCACGATGACTAGGACAGGGACCAGGCGACGCCGAACAGTGAGGGACAGTGGGCGTGTAATGTACAGTCTCGGCCCTCACGTAGCCCATGACCTGATGTCCAGGGCATCTGTTACCTGCCGTTGCTCAACATCATAGAGTTTCACCTTGAAGCCTCCGCTGGCAAACAACACGGCCTGGTCTCACCCAGTGAGTCCACTCATTTTCTTTCACACTCGACAATGTAAAAAAAAAAACAAACTCAGAAACAGGCAAAGGACTTGAATAAACATTTCTCCAAAGACACAAAATTGGCCAAAAAACCGAATGCAGTGGCTCACTCCAATAATCCTAGCACTCTGGGAGGCCAAAGTAGGTGGATTGTCTGAGCTCACAGGCTGGAGACCCTAAGACTGTCTTTAAAGACAAGATGACCATCTCATCAACAAAGAAACTCCTAGAACTAATAAGTTATTACATCAAGGTGGCAAGATACTTAGGTTAATAAAAGTCAATTGCTTTCCCATATACTAGCAGTGAACAAGTGGAACTTGAAGTTAACAACACAGTATCACCTATGTTGGTATAACTATATTATTTTGTTACTATAATACTAAGAAATGAAATACTTAGATATCTAACAAAATATGTCTAAGATCTATATAAGGGAAAATACAAAACTCTGATGAAAGAAATACAAGAACTAGGGAAAGAGAGATAGTCAGTGTTCATGGGTAAGAAGATTCAATACTGTCAAAATGCCGGTTCTAGCCAATTTAATCTATAGAGTCAATACAATCCTCATCAAAAATCTCAGCACATTATTTCATGAATATCAACAAACTGATTCTCAAGTTTAGAATGGAGTGGAAAAAGACCCAGAACAGACAACTCAGCACAGAAGGAGAAACACGAAGCTGGAGGACTGATATGGACTCCCTAATTTCAAGGCTTATTACAAGGCTACAGAAATCAAGACAGTGTGGAACTGGGAGAGAGTAGACACAGATCAGTGGAACAGAACAGAGAGGCCAGAAACACGCCCACATAAACCCAGTCAGCTGATATCTGAAAAGCAGCAAAGGTAACACGACACAGCAAAGATAAGGTTTGCAACAAATGGTTTCGGAATGACAAGCAAAAAAATTAGTCTAGACACAGACTTTACGCCCTCCACAAAACCTAAGTCAAAAGGAATCACAGACCTGAATATCAAAAAGCTAGAGGATAACATAGGCTAATAAAAACTAGAAGATAACAGCATCGGAGAGCTGCAGAAAGGCCTCCACCCAGTGAGCCTCACTATGGACCACACTCAGACCAGGCCTTGTGCTGGATCCTTATCATCATACCACCCTCTTAACCAGTGCTTCTCAGTCTTCCTAACGCCACGGCCCTTTAATACAGTTCCTGAGAACCGCTGCTCTTAACAGATGAAGAAGCAGAGGTTCAGGACATACAGAAAAGGTATCGAGCCTAAAGTTACTCGTTTGCCCTTAACCTTCCCAGTGCTAATTTCCAGGGAGATTTGACTATATTCTTCAGTCACATAATATACCCCATGGTGCTGAAATAGCTGAGGTCTATTGCAGGCTGAATGAACATTAACTGTCAATTACCTAGGACATCAGCAAAAATATTCTTCAAGCATCTACTGTATACAAGACAGTGAGAATTTTTTTTTTTAAGCAACAATTTATTAAGTTCTTACTCAAGCTTGTAACTCACAGGTGTGAATACTAAACATGTTTATAGCATTTAATCCTCACAACAACTTGCCAAGTGGGTACTCACCCCCGTTCTAGAGATGAGTGAGACTGGATGACAGGAAGGGTGCTGTTCCTAAGATGCAGAACCTGAGTTAGAATAAATGTGACCCAGAACAGAGCAAACCAAGGCACTGATGCAGAGAAATGTACACTGTAGACCCGCCTTGAATGACCTACCCATCAGGTGGGACCGTTAGAAACTCTAAAGAAAAGAAAAAGCAGAAAAGAACACATCAGGGGACCTTTAAATAGACGTTAAAATGGAAAAACTGCTGCTTTGTCATTTAACAAACACATTTTTATTCTCTGCTATTGCATTTACCAGGGTTTTATGACTGGATGATAAATGCAGGCTTCTACTGTTCACATTCACAGCCAACATTTCCTCTGTGTCAGGTCAGAAAGCCGGTGGTGACCTTGGTGAATAACTGCACGGAGCAAAGCTGCCCTCAACGCTGACTGAAGACAGATGCCCAGAGCAGCCGCTTCCGGGGACTGGCCTACACACACTCTCTCTTCTCTGGCACAGAGTGAATGGTCAGACCCATGTCTTACATGGTGAGTCACTCGCATTATTACATTTCATGTTCACCACATCCATTTTATAAAGGAGTGAAGTGACACTAAGAGACGTCAGGTGACTTAGCCAAGGTCACACCAGCCAGGAAGCAGCAGATTTGGGACAAGAATCCAGGTCTCCTGCTAGGTAGGCCTATGTTCTGTCCAAAGGCATACCAGGCCCACGACACCTAAGCCATGTGGGGCTGCAGGACCTTTCTACATGTAGACAAAGGCATAACCGACAGATAGGCCAAGAGCTAGGAGGGCACAGAGTAAACTGAAAATTCCCAGAACTTTGGTCCTGAAATAATCCTTAAGAATCATCCAGTATACCATTATATAGATGGGAAAGTTGAAGATCAGCCAAAGAAAGTAATTTCTCAAAAGCTAAACAGCTAGAAGTGGCAGATCAAGTCCAGAACCGAGGTCCATACCACTCTTCAACTGAGTTTGGAGAACAAGTTACAAAAGCTGCTAAGGAGATGGCAAAACAATCCACAGGATTTTTCTTTCCTTAGCAAGCTCAGGTCATGCATGCAAAGTACAAAGTATAGTATTTATCCTTGAGGAGTTTACAGTCTAGCTAGAAAAACTAGCAGGTGCATAGGAAAGTAGGATCAATAACACAAAACATCAGTACAGGTGGCAGCTACATCAAGAACTTAAAGGGGTCAGGGAGCAGCAGGGCTGGCTGTGTTGGAAGGCCTCCTGAAGGAGGGGTAAGGAAGGCTGGGCTTTA